GACACAGTGTTTAGTGCATGGACATCTGTATCGACACAGTGTTTAGTACATGGACATCTGTATCAACACTGTTTAGTGCATGGACATCTGTATCGACACAGTGTTTAGACTCATGGACATCTGTATCAACACAGTGTTTAGTGCATGGACATCTGTATCAACACAGTGTTTATACTCATGAACATCTGTATCGACACAGTGTTTAGTGCATGAACATCTGTATCGACACAGTGTTTAGACTCATGAACATCTGTATCAACACAGTGTTTAGACTCATGAACATCTGTCTTGACACAGTGTTTAGTGCATGGACGTCTGTATCAACACAGTGTTTAGACTCATGAACATCTGTATCAACATAGTGTTTAGTACTGAATGGAAATCTGTATCAACACATTTGTTTAGTACTGAATGGACATCTGTGTTAGCATAATGTTTTGATCTGGGCTATTTTTTTTTTATCACATAAATCACTTTAGTGCCTAAACTCTGAGACCTTATCTGAAATTAATGTAAGATCATTGATATGAAAGCACTGAAAATGTAAAATACTAGAGTAAATTGTTATATCTGACTTTTATGTGAATAATGTTTTAATAACTTAACACTGATTTCTAAATTGAGTTGGATAAGCTGGTGTCAGATTTCAGGAATCAAATCTTTTAATTTACTGATGGAAATTTGAATCCACCAAATTCTCAATTTTTACTTTAGAGAAAAAAAAATGGGTCAAATATTCAAAAGCCTTTTTCTTACTTAATTTTTAAAGTCCATTTGGTCTCTGTTTAGAGATCTAAAGGAACAGAACTTACAGAATGAATACATATTAATTTATTAGAGTAGCTTACAGGTGGTCCAGCCAGTTCAGTAATGGCTGTCTTAGAGAAAAGTCCAGGAATCCAGTAGTTCATGCAGCTGGATGTCTTAGCTGGTCTTTATTGTATGTTAGACTCCTGAAGAAGTACGTTCTAAGACCAGCAGAGGAATGCCTCAGCAACAGGCTAGATGAATGTAACCAGAGAAGAAACTGAGAGCAAACAGACAAGCAAAAGCATCTTTCTTTCAGTTTTAACATGGGTCTACCTGCCTCCAGTGATCCAATCAAGAAAATCGCTCATAGGCATTCACAGCTGTTTGCATTTTAGTTGATTGCAGAGGTAGTCGAGTTGAGGTCCAAGCTTAGCTATCTCAGTGGTAGCAGGTGGAGATAGAGAATTAACTTACAGACTTGTCCTCTGGCTTCCACATGTATGTGTGGCTGGTACAGGCCCCACCACCACTAACAACAATAATAAACTAAATTTTAAAACTGAACCACCTCAGAACTGTAGACATTTATTCTGTACTCATTTTTTTCTGAAAGAATTTTAAGTAACTATTGAAAACTGAGCTTAGCATAATCATGATGTTATATATATCATGACTTCAAAAATATAACTTCTTGCAGAGGCCGTAAGGGTTTTGGTTTTGGTTTTGATGTTTGATATTTCTGTGTGTGTGAGTCAGGACAATTCTCAGGAGCAAGTTCTCTCCTCCACTATGGGTTCTAGGAATCAGACTCAGGTCTTCAGTGCTACACAGCAAGCACTTCTACCTGCTGAGCCATCTCTGGCCTAAGGCCTGAGAACTGAGGGTTTCTCACACACTGACATAGTCCTGGAAGCCACACTGTTGGGACATGATAAAAAGCTAAGTATTGTCTCATTGTTACTTGATATCACAGAAGTCATCACCTAGAAACCTTATGACTAAGCCAGCTTTCATTTTGGATCTCGCTAATCTGTGTTTTGCTTTTGAGCTTTTAGGACCTTCAACAGTTGCAACAGCTTCAGCAGCAAAATCTCAACTTGCAACAGTTTGTGTTGGTGCACCCAACCACCAACTTGCAACCAGCACAGTTTATCATCTCACAGACTCCCCAGGGCCAGCAGGGTAAGCCTGTCCCTAAAGCTCATCAGTGGTGCAGTGGAGCTGCTTATTAGTGTACAGACACCTTAACTACATTTGCCATAACAGTATCCATGTGAGCAATGCTTTTATTCAGTTTTGATTTCAGACTAGCAGTATTCATGAGAACTGTAAGTGATGCCTTAAATCAGGAGCATAGGTTACGTATATGAAGGTGAATGAAATTAAGAGCTGAAAGATGAGTAATGAAATTCCCAGGACTTTATTAAGCTGAAATCATACAGCTTAATCATTTCCAAGGCTCAGTTTATTTGCAAGTCACTGGATGAATGGGAAAGGTAGTTTTCTGAGTCCCATTCCAAATTTTTAACTAGTTCTTTGTGGGGTTAAATTTGAGTGTTGTCTGATATCGTCCAATAAAGTTTTCTGTAGTATATTTAAAAACAAAAAACTAAAGTAGAAAAAGTGACATTAACCATTTGTATTAAGAAAACTTATTTACACTGAAAGTTGGAGAGGTTAGAATAGGCAAGAATAGATTTAGTAATACAAAAGAGTTTTGCAAGGTGATGTTGTGACTGATAGATGCTGAGCTATGTTTGTGAGGGCTGTAAAGAGAAAATGATACAGCAAATAGAACAGACTTGGGCCAGGCGTAATGGCACTCACCTATAATTCTAGCATTTGGGGTTCAGACGCAGGAGGATCTCAGAGCTTTTACATAGTGAGAACCTATCTCAAAATAAACTAAAAATCAAGAAAGGGTTGGTGGCCAATTAAATTTGGTTAATGGTAAGGAATAGCCATCTGTGTGATTAAGTTTTTAGGAAGCTATAAGTATTATTCGGCCACAGAAAGAAAATGTATTTGCAGTAATGGAAAAGCTTTACTAAAACCAACACTTTTGAACTAATGGGGATACATAGAGTCTGAAAATGGTACTTTTTTTGTTTATGGGTCAGAACCAGTAAAAAGTGATCGTTATAATGAAAGAGAATTCCAAGAGAGAAGGAAAAAATTATTTATCTAGACCAGAAAGACTTTCACAGGCCAAGACTGAAGTGTGTGTATTAGATTTGGTAATTGTTGAGACCTTAAGATTGAATGTGATCACTTTCCTTTATTTGTATATATTTTTTAACAAAGCCTGAGGATATTTTCTTTTACTTTTTTTTTTCCTATCTGAGCGTTTATAAGACTTTATAAGACAGTTAAAATGGCAATTCTAATTTTTTTGTGTTTATGTGTTTTTCTTTCCACCCTTTTATAGAATTGAGAAAATAACACAGAATGGAAAAGAATGTTGGTTGGTTGGCTTTAGCACCTATAACTCTGGGCAAGCCACCTAGGTTTTCTGAGTTTCACGTACTTACCTTTTCATCTTTCCCCTTGACCCTTTTCATCTTTCACTGTAATTATGAGTAAATTATATTAAATGTTTTATTGATGTCAGAAAAACCATTGTAATGTAAAAAGCATAGACCATTGTCTAAAATCAAGCTTTCTCTCTCTCTGAAGAAATGTAATTTGAGCTTCAGTTTTCTTACTTGAAGTGTGAGAATAATTTTAGTATTTATATTCCAAAATTGTTGCAATTTAGTAAGGAAGTACATGGAAGTACTTCAGAAAATGTACCTTATACATAGTAACTTCTGTTTTCACCACTATTACCACTGGCATCATATCAGTATCAACAGCCCATAAATATAACTTAGAGAAGGAAAAGGCTGTTCCTTTGTAGAGTGAAAACCAGCTTGAGCCGGGTGTGATGGTGCAAGCCTTTAAACCCAGCATTCAAGAGGCCAGGGCTACATAGAGAAACCCTGTCTCGAAAACAAACAACAACAACAAAAACCAGCTTGAAAGTAATTGGGACTCAGGCAGAGGCCCAGTGGGTAGAGAAAGCACCTGCATAAGCATGAAGACTCTGTTCAGATCCCTAGCACACATAGTGGTCTGGAAAGGCTAAGGAGCATAGATTGCAATAGCAGGCTGGATGACTCATCTAGCCAAGTTGCTAAGCTCTGTTGAAATGGGAGACCCCGCTTCCATATATAGTGTAGGGAGGGATTGAAGAGACTTCTGACCTAAACCTCCGGCCTCTGATAACATATGTACACTCATACCTATATACACATGCACTCAGCACCACGTGCATGTAGACACGCCAAAAAGAAAAGTAACCTGGAGCCCGTTTGTACCACTGTTGTTGAGTTGTAATCTTAGTAGCATGGGACCCAGATTTCACCAATAAGATTGGCCAGCAGTATGAAGGAATGGAGCCTTGAAAAGGCTTCAATTTAGGAGTTAATAGTAATTGGAAATCTGTTTAAATCTTCTTTTAGTTTTATGTGAAAGGAGCATGGGTTGATTGGTTGGGATTTTAACAAAAAAAAAAAAATCTCTAGTGTAAGATTTGGCCTCCAGTTGGGCAACCACTTCTTTTTTAGAGGGAGGAGATGTTGTTAACCTAAGACTTTAAAAATATAGTTTATAATATTGACAGTATTGCTGTGAAACAACAGTTTACTCCCCAAGAATTGGTTTTTCTTGGGAGAACGCTTACTGATGTATTCTGAGTCATATTTCATAGGAGCTTGTCTTTTACCTATTCTTGGTTCTCATGAAGGTTCTAGGCCTCTTTGAACCCTCTCAGCATTTCAGCTGACTTTACTTGGCAGGGAGGGAGACATAGGATGACCTCAAGTTTGAATTTGTTTATAGAATATGGTACTGTGAACCAAACTAATAATTTGGTATTATAATTTCTGATTAAATAATGCATTTGTCAAAGAGAAACAAACACAAACTTTCCTGCTAAACTTTGAAGAAACTCATTGTTTATGTGCCCAAGCTTACACTTTGTTCTGTTTCTTTTTTTTATTATTGTTTTATAATATTGTTGGAGTTTTATCCTTTTCTAAATAATCTTAGTAGATTAATTCTTACCATTAACATAAAATGTAATTTTTACACTTGGTGTTAAAATCTATAAAATTTATAATTATAGTTAATTTGCTCAGCAGATTGTTGGGTATCTTTCAAGTGTCTTATATCACACTAATATTGGAGTTATAATTTTCAAATTATATCTGAAATCCCTGCACTTTTTAGAAGTCAAACAGTAATAAACATAAACAAATGACTTGGATAACAGCATATCCAAGGAGGATGGAGATTTGACTCACCTGGTAAAAATTAATATGTGGAAGACAAGTTGTGTGGTCTGAAGAAAGCCTGTCTGCTAAGTGATGTCTGCTAGAGGTGCCGGCTGCTCTAGCTGGGTGTGGATTTGGGTGACTAGCCTTGGAAACAGTGGAGAATAAACAGAGCCTGAGAGGGAAACGAACTTGCCCTGAGCCCGAAAGGGAAGGCCAGTCTAGCTAGAGATGAGTGAATGAGAAAGGGCAAGAAATGAACTGTAAGCTCAGGCCATGCGGGGGAGGCAGCTCAGGCTAGGTCTTGCCATGCAAGCATGGGAACCCGTGAAGTGCTGAATGAGTGTGGTGACTCCACCTCTAACTTCAGTGCTTGGATTCCCAGAGCAAGCGATCTAGCTAGACCAGCCTATCAGAGAGCTCGGGGTTTGGTTGAGAGATCCTTCTTCAGTAAATAAAGACTGTGATTGAAGAAGACTGTGGACACACACACATATGAGGAAGAGCAAAACAGCTCTACAAGACCAGAATGCCTAGGACTAACCAGACAGAATTCTCACTCAATTATAATGGAAGGCTGCTGGAGTATTGGTTTGGTGACAAAGTCTGGCTATGAAACACAGGTAGACTTTGAACTTCTATGTCAGCCTCCCATATGCTGAGATTGCAAGCATGTGCCACCACGCCTGGCTCACTGATGATGTGTAATCAAAGATGTCACCTTAACTACTTTATAAGCTTGAGCTGCAGAGGGCCTGAATAGTTGGCTTAGTGGTTCACAGCACAGGCTGCTCTTACAGAAGAACCAGGTTCAACTCCCAATACACACACAGCAGCTATAACTCCAGTACCAAGGGAGCCAAAACTTTCTTCTGTACATGTATACGTGCAGGCAAAATACTCATACACTTAAGATAATTAAATCTAAAAATAACTTTTTAAAAGATTGAGTCATAGAGCAATACTTGGAAACACATGGTAGTCTTTTAAACATGAATAATTTTTTTTTTTTTGGATTTAGCTTTTAAAAGAAGCTTATATAAGCATGTATATTCAATTTACTTAGTTTTACCATATTTACTTCAAAATACAAATAAAAGAAACGGTTCTTTGGAAAACCTAAATCTACTTAAAATATTTGTTGTATTTAGGATCAATGTTGTCAAATAAACATGCATGTTAATTTCTTAAATTTATCCAGTGCTTACTTACTTACAAACAAATGATAAAATGTGACAGATTTGATTTTTTTAGTATTGTCATACATGGTTCAGTGTGTGCTGTATCCAAATTTAGTGGCTAAGGAAATCAAAAAACTATGTTAACCCACCATATTTACAGTCTCCTATCTTGTCCCAATCTTATATTTACTATTTCAACATGATTATATTTGAAACTAAGTCCTTAGAGTAAATTCTTCAATGCAGATGTATTCTGGTTTGCCCCATGTATTTATAATATTGAAAAACAGACAAACAAACAAACCAGACAACAACAACAACAAAACCCTATAGACTTAAATAACCGACTGAGTATGTGCTGCAGAACAAATTATTACTGTGTTGTCCAGCCTGGCCTCTTAACTTTGGGGCTTGAGTGACGGTCCTACTTCAGCCTCCAGAGTAGCTGGGACTACAGGCATACACCTTCACACCCACCTTACTTATAGTAACCTTGAAATAAGATTGTCCAGGGCAGGTAGTTGTTTGCATTTCAGTTTTACTATCCCTGAAGAGACATGTGCTAAGAACTTGAAAATACCATCTTCTCCCACTTACAGGATTGCCTGCTTCTTTCAGAAATTGATTCCCTGTTCTAAGATTCATTAGAGCAGAAGTTATGAACCTTTGGTGTCCAGTGACGCTTACACAGTGCTCACACATCAGATATCCTGCTTATCAGATACTTATATTATGATTCGTAATAGTAGCAAGATTACAATTATGGAGTAGCAACAAAATAACTTTATGAATGGGTTCCACCAGAACATGAGAAGCTGTATTAAAGAAATGCAGTGTTAGGAAGGTTGAGAACCGCTGTGCTAGAAGATTCTAATGAATTCTGGGTAAGAAGTTGAACTCATCCTTAAATTTCCAGGTGCTTTCATTTTTAAGAAGTTCCTCAAGTTCTCCCTCTCCCTAGGCAATAAAGGCCTTTCAAAGAACGTATACTGAAGACATACAGGCTTTGACTTAATGTTAAACATGATTAACAATACTGAATTGTAGACAGAGCAACTATAGACAATTCTGAAACCAACAAAACTACCAGAAAATGAGTTGGGAACTCTTAGCTTACATTATTTTTTTTATCCACCTGAAATGTTTGGTTTTCACAGGTCTCCTGCAAGCGCAGAATCTTTTAACTCAACTACCTCAGCAAAGCCAAGCCAACCTCCTGCAGCCGCAGCCAAGCATCACACTCACCTCTCAGGTCAGTCTTCTCACTCTAGTTTAAAAAGAAAAGAAAACACTCCCAGTAATAGCAATCTCGGGTATTCAAAAGCTGACCAAAAACTCAATGCTGGGCTTACTAGCTTGATAACACAGTATTAGCAAATTGATGGAGAGTGAAAATTTTTATGATTTTTTTTAAGTTCATAAAAAATAACCACATTGGAAGTAAATGGGGATGAAGTATAGCTGTCTAGGGCTGATAGATAGGAACACTGAAGTGGAAGACCTAGGAAGTGAGTCAAAACCTGTTGTTGGTCCTTTGCCCTTGTTAAAACAGTGATGAAGCTTGGATTTCTATGTTTTCTCAGTACTTAAATGTTGTTTTGTGTCATTTCCTCTAGAAGACATAACAATCATAATCACTTAGAAAGCACAGTTCTTAGGCATCTGGAATTTTAAGTTACACATTTGTGTTCTTATCTAGTGATTATTATGACCATGTACATCAGTTTTCCTCTCTGGTTTTCTGTCTGGTCATCCTGACTGTCTGACCTTGAGTCCTCCCTTTCTTCCAACTCTTTGACTCTTTCTAAAAGTGTAGAAGTTGAGGGTGGAGAAATGAATGGCTTAGTGGTTCTTGTGAGGCAAACAATAGGATCAGAGTTCAGATCCTGAGACCCTGCTTAAATGCAAGCTGGGTGAACATGGTGATTCACCTGTTTCAATTAAGGGATCTCCTAAGCAAGCTGGCTATTGAAACAAGCTCTGGATGGAGAGTGATCAAGGAAGATAAATTCCCTACATCAACCTCTGCCATGTACATGTCTCCACATGTTATGCACATGTGTACACACACACAGACATGAAAAGAAAGAAAACATAGCAACTAAAACTTGATATTTAATATATTACCAAATTTCACAGGCCTAAATGACAGGTCTGTTTTGACTTTGAGCTTAGCAACAAGTTACTTGCTCTTACCCACCAAGCCCTCCGTCCAGCCCCCTGTAATCAAACAAGTTATTAAAGGTAGAAAATTAGAAGGACCATCCGATGTCAAGAATTATTAAAAAACTATAATAATAAACACATGGTATTGGCATATAGAGAAAATGTAGGCCAGTGAGATAGAGTCCAATAGACAGATATGTAAATAGCCAGCTAATATTCTAAAGGTACCAAAGGATTCCAATGGGAAAAGGAAAGTTTTTGGTTTTTTTTAACAAGTGATAACTAACAATTGACTTCATTACCAAAAGGGAATGGAGACCACCCTTACTTCATACTTCATACAAAAATTAATTTGAAATGAGTCATAAGCCTAAACATAAAAGAAGAAATGCTCATGTCATTGGGCAAGGCAGTGATTTCTTAAACAGGACACAAAAAGCCTTAACCATCAAAGAAGCAATGAATTTCAGGAAAATTAAAAGTTTATCTGAAGAAAGTGGAAGAAAAACTGCAGTTTAAGGAGAAAACAATCTTCAAATAGAACATTTGATAAATGATTTTGTTCTAAGATTTATTCTTAATTGATACGAGGAATGGTGTTCTTGTAGGTACTCTGGGAAACCAAAAGAACATGTTGAATTCCTTGGTGCTGGAGTTACAAGCAGCTGTGAGCTCCTGGGTGTGTGCTGGACATTGAATTTGGGTCCTCTGCAAGAGCAGTGCACACTCAGTCACCAAGCCATCCCTCCAGCCCATGATAAAAGAATTATAACTAGAATAAAGAACACATAGAGCCAACAGTGAGACAATCAGACTTAAGCTAGTGAGAGGCAAAAAAGCAGTTGCCCAGTAAGCAAATGAAAACATGCTTAAAACAATCTGGTATTAAGAAATGTCAATGTGCATTCACACGAATGGGTGCAGTTATGAAGGATTTGAGACCAAGTGTTGATGAGAAAAATAAAGCAACTAGATTTCTCATGCATTACTAGTAGTTTTGCAAAAAGCACTAACACTTTGTAAATTAGTTTGGCATTCACCTAAAAATTAAATATAACTCCACCTTATAACCCAGTAGTTTTGCTCTTTAAAATGAAAGCACAAAGATCTGTATACAAATGCTTATAATAGATTAATAATTACTCCAAACTATGTATCTGATAGTAAGTTGCATAAACTTCTGAATAGCCATGCGACAGACTTTTATTCTGAAGTAAGGAGAAACATACTTCTGGTATCTGCATTGGCATGTATGAATTTCAGAGGCCTCATGATAAGTGACATGCTGGGCTGAAAAGACTATCATGATTTCTGTTTACATAACTTTCTAGAAAGGACAGAACTGTAGTTGTGGAAATCCTATCAGTGCTTGTCAGGAAGTAAGGAATGATGAAGATTAGTGGCAAAGCGTTCAGTAGAAATTTGGGGAAAGTTGGTAAACATGTATATCTTGTGTTAGTGTAGTTACACAACTGTATACAGTTGCAAAGGAATCAAAACTATTCTGTAGTTTTAAATGGTAAATTTTTTAATATGCTGAACACAAAATAAATAAAATTGGTTTTTAGCTGGGCATGGCGGTGCACACCTTTGATCCCAGCAATCGGGAGGCAAAGGTAGGTGGATCTCTGTGAGTTTGAGGCTAGCCTGGTCTAAGAATTGAATCCAGGACACCCAGGGCTCTGTTACAAAAAGAAACCCTGTCTTTAAAAACAAAACAAAAACAAACAAAAAATACTAAAATTGATGTTCTGACATGTATACCAGAGACCTTTCTTGTCCTACATGCTATGCACATGTAGCAGACTTCATCCTGACTCTTGCTCATTAAATGCCACCTTTCTAGATCTGGCCTGGTTCAGCCAGGGATTTTAGAGTAGTAAGATACCAGATGTCTAAAGGTACCCAACCTATTTTTAGTCCATTATTATTTGACAAAGAGTCTACTTGATGCTGATAGTTTGAAACTCACCCTACTTATCAGCATGGTCACTGTGGTAAGTATTCAGCAATATAGGATTCTAATATAGTTGCTGCCGTGTGTAGCTTCTCTGAAAGCTGAGGTTAAAATTATTCAATGTCAGCATGTCATGTCTTTATTGAAGCAGGATAACAGAGGAATTTGCTCCAATTATTATATCACGCCTATTATGTAGTTTTCTGGGTCAGTTAGTTCCCTTGGAGCAAGCCTTAATAATGAGATAAAGGTCAGGTAATATAAGGCCCATCTAAATTACAAGAAGAAAACCCTGGTTCATAATCTCCCACCTGGGCTGCCGTTCATTGGAGGCTTCACCTGATTAATTAAGCTGCAGAATTAGAAGCACTGCTATTAGAGAACATTCAGAAGGAAGGCTCTACTCAAGTGCTTCTGAGAACAGAGTAGCCTGGTGTTTGAATAAGAAAATTTCGTGTTTTCTTAAAAAAAAAAAGAGAGGGGACTAGAGAAATGCTTAGCAGTTAAGACCTCTGGCTGCCTTCTAGAGGACCTGGGTTTGTTTTCTAACATATCTGCCTCTAACTCCAGTTGCAGAGGATTCAGGATCCTCTCCTGGCTTCTGCAGGCACTTCATGCATTTGGTGCATAGACATGCATTTAGGCTCATGCATAAAATAAAATTTTAAATAAAGAAGAGAACACTAGGGGTCTTCAGGTTTCAGAATACACTTTAGATAAATTTAAGTAATTATGTTAAAATACAGAAAATAAGAAATCATATTATTGGGAAGAACTTTTTGGTTTTTTCCAGAAGGGATTTCATCACTGAAAAATAACTAAAGTTTTTTGGGTTTTTTTTTTTTTTGTTTGTTTGTTTGTTTTTTTTCTCAAAGAAAGATAGTAGAAATGGAGAAAATTCATAAAAATGACAGTTTAAAGGTTATACACACTGAAAAAATTTTAAAGGCTGATGAAAAGAATTGTTTGTATTAATATGATAAGAAAAGAGTCTATATACCGTAATATTTGAAGAACTGGCCTAAAGATAAGAGTAAGAACAGAGATTTCATTAATATGTAATTGGGACTTGAATCCAGTGCAAGGAAATACAGATAATAATTGACACATGGAAAGTTTCTTATTTTGAGTAGTAAGGGAAGCATTATGTCAAAAATGATGTATCATTTACTCCCTGGTAAGCAAAATAATTTTTTAAACTGAGAACACAAGTCCTGCGTCCGAAACTGCATTCTGTAGTAGGGCACAGCATGTTGTTACCAGAAGCATGACGTTATTTATCAAGTTGCTAGCAAACCCTTTATGAAGTTTATCTTAAAGAACTTTTGCTGGTGTTGATGCTTAATCCAAGTACTGTAAAGTTGAGGCAATGGGATTACATAGTGAATTCCAAGCCAATCTGGGCTAGAGAGTAAGAACCTGTTTGCTTTGCTTTGCTTTGCTTTGTTTTGCTTTGTTTTGCTTTGCTTTGGCTTTTTTTTTTTTTTTTTTTTTTTTTTTTTTTTTTTTTTTTTTTTTTTTGTTTTTTTTTTTTTTTTTTTTTTTTTTTTTTTTTTTTTTTTTTTTTTTTGGCTTATGTTTTTGTTTTTAATGGAGGGAGTAGGAGAGATGGTATTTCTTTGCCCTTGGTTTTCTTAAGACAATCTTTAAAAAAAATACATTTATATAGGGGGAGAAGAGGGTGAATAGGACTAAGAAGAGACGAGGGAGAAGCTGCAGCAGGGATACAAAGTGAATAATTGTAATAAATAAGTAAATTTTTTTAAATGTGTTTATTTATGAATGTCATAAATGTATTTTCGTCATATTCCTCATCCTCCTTCCAGATCTGCCTCCTAACCCCCAGTCAATTGCCAGACTTACCCAAATTCATGTTCTCATATTCTCAAGCACCCAACCTCATGTTGTTATTTTCTCTTCCTTTTTTTTTTTTTTTTAAATTACAAAAATTTTTTTTGTAATTAAAAAAAAAAATCTCATGGAGCCCAGCTTGCATTGGTGATTAATGCCTTGGAATGTGGCCAGTATAGCAGGTGTCACTACACTGAAGAAAACTTACCCTCTTCTGGCAGCAAATGCTAATGACTCCCCAGTTAGGAGTAGACTTTCCTCTCTGCTAGGACTCTGTCTGGCTCGAGCTTATATGAGTGTGTTTCCTTAAGTTGCCAACAGAAAATAGTTATAAGTTAAAGGGTCTTTTTATTATTCTGTTCCTTCTCCAACAGCCCGCCACCCCAACTCGCACAATAGCAGCAACCCCAATTCAAACACTTCCACAGAGCCAGACAACACCAAAGCGAATTGATACTCCCAGCTTGGAGGAGCCCAGTGACCTTGAGGAGCTTGAGCAATTTGCTAAGACCTTCAAACAAAGACGAATCAAACTTGGATTCACTCAGGTAGGATGAACTCACCTGTTCTGGTTCACTTTCTGTTGTGTGATAAAACACTTAACTAAAACGAATTTGTGAAGAAAAATGCTTTATTCAGCTCACAGGTTCTAGCCCGTTGCTGAGGGAGTCAGAGAAGGAACCTGAAGTCAGGTTCTGAAGCACAGGCATGGCGGAACTCTGCTTCCTGACTTGTTCCAGTATTCTTAACAGCCCAGGCCCACCTTCTCAGGGAAGGCACTGCCCACAGTGGCCTCACACTCCTACATCAGTCAGCTATATAAGAAATACTCTGTAGACATACTCCCAGGCCAATCTGACAGAGGTCACACTTCAGTTAACATTTCCTCTTTCTAGGTCTGTCAAGTTTGCCAACCAAGTTTAGACATCACAATGTGCTCTTACATATCTTTTCTTGGCTGGCTATGGGTACTTTCTAGAGAGCAAGATATTTCTCCATCATACTGATTTTGGGTTTAGCTATAGTTGGTTTTCTTATAGTTATTTAGCACTTATAATTTTGGGATATTGTGTATTTGGTTATAACATGCTCATACATTTATTTGTGATATAAGGGAAAAAATTTTCCAAACATGTTTTACAACACAGGTCTCTAAAATTATACCAGTAAAATGTGTGTTTCAGTAGTGTTGGTGACATGACTGTTCCAAGGTTTTGGTGTTAAAGCATTTGGTTGTAGGGCCAACTGCTACCTGTGTAAGGTGAGAAGAATAAAGGTTACAGAGTCTTTTGATTACTGATTAAAGCTAGTTTGCAGGGAGACTGTGTTTCCCCTCCTTTTTCTCAGCCTACTGAGATTAGTCAAGTAAGAGTCTATTGAAGATTTTTTAAAGTAAATTAATCAAAATCCAAATCTCTTAATGTCAGCTACCAGAAGGCCTGAAAAGTGGAAGGAGTGTGCTTAGTGGTTTAAGCAAGAATTTTTTCCCCTAAGCACCTGTCACTTACTATACTCCCAGATTAGCCTGTCAAAAACAATGCTTGAAAAGCAGGAAAGGAATTAAACTTATATTTATGTAAAATGGCAAAAGATAATTAGTTGAAAGAAAAACTTGAAATATTAATTGAGTTGTGTATTTATAATATCAGGGAAAAAAACTGATGTTTCCTTTCCAGAAAAGCTTCCACTCCCATGCTTTCCAGATTAGGTTGTGTTGAAGTACATACTGTACCACCTGCCTTGGTAGATGAAAAGCAAAGGCGCCATCACTGTCTACTGTAGTCTAGATGTCATTTGGACTTAGACTTCTTTTATTTCTTGTGGTTGGCGATTTATTTTTCTCAAAGAAACTTGATATTAGTAATTTAAAATAGATGTAATTTTAGACGTGATGCAGTTATGTTTTTGAGGATTTTCCGATATAAAGAAACTAATTAAGGGGCAGGTGCTTGCCACCAACCCTGATGATCTGAGCTTGATCATCAGGGACCTACACGGTTCACCAGCACACAGATGTATCTGCATGTGCACAGACAGATACATACACACAAAATAAAAGAATATAAAAATGTTAATTACCATCCAGAAACATCTTAGTAATTTTGAAGCACTTAAATTATATGATTTGTTTTAAGCACAAAAATAAAAACAAACTAGAGATAAATTAATATACTGAGAAGAAAGTTTAAGGTTAGCATATTTAACAGTGCTGGGTTTGGTTATTCACACATTACACTATGGGGTTCTTTGGCAAATGGTTGTATAAATGCTAAGTCAAAGCTGTTAGGCTTTTCAAAATCTTTACTTTTTACCAAATGTTGATTTCCCTTTTCCCTTTCTGTGGTCATTTGATCTAATCTACTACCAGTGTGGGGATAGAAATCAATTCCTTTCTCTGCCCCTCCTCCTCTCTTCTTCCCTCCCCTTTCCTTCTCTTTCCACTTCTTATCTCTCTTCTTCCCACCCCTCCCCATACACATCATAACCTTCATCCCATCCTCTTATTTTGTGTTATGATTTGTTTTGTTTTTTTCTTGGCATGACCACTACTTATTTTTCAAAATGGCTGAACAGGACTGTAATGGTTTGCAAATCAGAGTACTTACTACTAGTACAAAATGGGAAAATCAGTTATCAGCTTTTGTTTTTAATTCATATACTGCATTGTAGTTTTCAAAAGTAACTGTGTATTCAATTTATTCATATTTACATACATGCACAGTAGAGTATTCAAGTTACTTCTTGAGATAAATCCTTATTCTTTGATTAAATACATGTTTTTAAAGTTTTACACAGTTATTTTCTAATTATGTGTTTAATTTTTTTGATAAGCAATGGGTAAGTAATGCATGACATTACATAAAAGTCCAAACCCAGCAGGACAAGTCCTGTAGTTCTGGTTTAACGTCAAAGGGTTTAGATGGCTCTTCAGATCTTCGCACTCCTTCCAGCTGTGTCTGACTGCAGCACACTTCTTTCTGCTCCCTGTCAGCCACTCTTCTTGACAGATATCCCAGGGCTCTGGCATCGTCAACATCTTGGATCTCCAACATACTTTAGGCTTCGATTTCACAGCTTCACACAATGGCCTCTTAGGGCCTCCATGCAGGGATTCCCCCTGTAACATGCCTCAGTGGGTTTTCTTAACTCAGAGGAAAATTCTACAGCCTCTTCACTCCTGCATCATTTTTTGACTCTAAAGCAAAAACCACATGACCCATCTGCCAAGTTCTTCTCCTGCTTGAGCTGGAACCCGAGCCCATCCTTGAGTTACATTTGCATAAGCTTTGTTTTGCTTTGCTTTGTTGTTACTCTTTAAGAATGTAGTAATTCCTTAGGCCTTTTGTTTTCACATGTTGTAGATTAGTTGGATGGTGTCTCACCCTAAGGGTTACTGCTTCTTTTATTCCATATCTCCTTATCTGTTTTGTCACAAAACGTTGGCTCCAACATTAAATTTCCTGGGGCTCTTTTTCTCTTCAAACTGTGCATATTGTATATATTTATTTTTGCTCTGCTCCTTCTTGTTCATTATAGACCTGTACAAGAATGATCACTAGTAACTATGTGACAAAATCAATATTAGGCTGTCTTACAGTCTCCTCTGCCTTCAATTTAACCTCTGGCAAATTCTTAGAACAAGAGCAAAAAGCAGCCATATTCTTTGCCAAAATACCACAAGAATCCTCTCTAGCCCATTGCTAGTATTGTTCCCTGCTGAAACTCTTGAGTTGGGCCTCTGTAGCCCACGATGCTCTCACCACTATTGTCTTCCAAGCTCCTTTCAAGGATGCCCTGATAGAAACCCTACTTACAGCAGTTAGCCACTTTCCTAATCTACAGTTCCAGTGTCTTCCACAGACCTTCAAAAAACCAGCATGATCAGGCCTGTCACAGCAATAGCCCACTCCCTGGTACCAATTTATTTCTTGCTTACCTTTTTTGCCGTGATCAGAAGTTTATTGGGGCTTACAGTTTATGGACTTACAGTGTGAGTCCATTACCATCAGGGTGGGGAGCCTGTCTGCACACAGGCATGGTGGTGGATCAGTAGTTGAGAGCTCACATCCTGAGACACAACCACAAGGCAGAGAGAGTTAATTGGGGTCAGCATGGGCTTTTGAAATCTCAAAGCCACACTTCCTAATCCTTTCCAAACAGCTTTACCAACTGGGGACTAAGTATGCAAATATTTTCCATCTCCCACAGAATCTATTGTTTTTATTTTGTTAAATAAGCTCTAACTTAGTTAAATTGTATTACAAATCTCTATTAAGTGAGTTTGCTTTTTACTGCCATTGTCCTAGTAGACTGGTAGCACAGCTTTATTCGTGGCTCCCAACTTAAGTTATTAGTATGGGAAAGTACACATACCCACAGAGGCTGGTGTTCCCCATCGTTTTCTGCGACAGGATCTCACCACTCACCACTCACCACTATGCTGGCCGGCCAGCGAGCTCCAGAGTCAGCCTGTCTGCCTCTCCAGGACTGCGATTACAGGCATGTTACCTGCTTTCTACATAGGTGCTTGGGACCCAAATTTTTGCTTTTGTGCAGCAAGCACTCTGCTGACTGAGCCTTCTTCCCAACATTATGTTATTATTTTTTAGAGTTAACATAATGTGGTTTTTGAATATTTTTCTCTATGCTTACATGTCAAAACTATTAATTTCATAGTAAGATTATCGGCATTTGTGAAACTTCTTTTAATGAATTATGAAGTTCCAATGTCAGAAGATATTTATTGCCACTTAAATGTCTTATACTAGGAAAAAAAATTTGTGTTTTATTTAGCTCCAGATTTCTAGAAAGCTATAATCTAAACAAATAAAATGATGTAGACACAAATATATGTGGTTCCGAAAGTGTAAGCTGAGTCCCTGATGTGTAGTAGACACTATGTGAAGGTTCAGTCATTGAATGGAGTGATAAAAACATGAAAGTGAAAGTTAATGCCCCTATCCATAGCTTTGGATGCGTTTGTATCAAAACATAATAATCTGTTGCAGTTCTAGTTAAAGAGAGATCATTCAAAGCCTATTTTGATGGGAACATTTTGTATTCGTATTGCCCAGTTCCATCACCACTACCTACTAAAAACTACTGACTACTTCAAAGGGTAGCAGTGCTAAGAAGGTAACTGTTAGTTTATTTGATTTTCTGCAGTTTAAATTTAAGTGGTCAAGTACGAGTAGTGACTAATTGGGGGCCATATTGCACATATTTCTTGGGTTAAATATTCAGTATATTTCATTTTATCTTACAGTACACATTTGTTCTATTATTTAACTTCTTAGTGAAAGTTGTTGGCATCTTGGCACATGCTTATAATCTCAGCACTAGGGAAGTCAGGATTCAAGACCAGCTACATAACAAATTTGAGACCGTTTTGGGCTTCATGAAGCCCTCTCTTTACATCATCATCCTAATAAATTAAAATGAACAAAACCACATTCATACATGCTTTTAAATACATTTTTTTCTTAATTCCACATATAACAGACAGCATACTCTCAAAAAGATGGATCTGGGGGATTAAAAAGATCCAGATAATCCCAACTAAAAATTGTGTTTTTTAAAGCAGGGTATAGTTCACTTGGGAAATGGGGGCAGGAAGATCACAAATCAAAGCCAGTCCTAGTCTCAACAGTTTGGGACTGGAGAGGTGGCTCAGTGGTTAAGAGCACTTGCTGTTATTGCAGAGGACCTGGGTTCAGTTTTTAGTTTCTTTATGATGGATCACAGTGATCCATAACTCCAGGTCCAAGGGATATAATGCCCTCTTCTGTAGGCATTGTACACGTGTTGTATATACACCTGTACAGGTAAAACATTTCATACACATAAAATAAAAAATAATCAAAATTAATTAAAAATAACGTTGCCAGGCTTGTTAAGAATCGACTCTCATAGTAGAGTTAGCATTGCAATATTTTGAACAAGAAATGCTGTATTTTTCTGCCCTGTCACTATTCTAGTTGTAGTGGGTGTCTGAATCATTTAAACACCATAAGCTTCTCCCGTTATCTATAAAATGACTATTAAGATACATCTTTTTCAAACTAGAACAAGAGAGAGCCAGCTGGAAGAAAAGTGCTGTGTACATTTCAAAGGTGATAGGCTCATAGAGAAAGGCATCTTTTGTAATATATTCAGAGAATCATTGTTCTGTTTCAGTATGGTTACCAAATTTCAAGTGCCCATGAAGGTTTAACTAAATGGGTCAAACCTCTCTACTGTGAAATTCTATCTCTATAATGGCTACAAACGTGATCCTTTTGAATACCTGGTTTTGTGACCAACTTTGAAATCTAAACTAAGGGTGAAAATAGATTTTTTTTTTTCACAGCTTCCAGAAATACTTGTAAGAAAAACTATAAAGAATGAGGGGTCATTTCTGAATTTTAAAGTGTTTTGTGTGAAGTTTGGTTGGTTCAGAAATTCCTGGCTTGGAGGCACTTGCCACTAAGCCTGATGACTGGGACTCAATCCCCAGGACCTTTGTCTACCTACAGGTAGAAGGAGAGAGCCAGCTCCCTCAAGTTGTCCTCTAACCACTACATGGACACCATGGCTCTCCTGGGTCCACATACACATTAAATAAATAAATATGAATGCAGTAATAAGAATAATTGCTGGGTTATCTAAACATCTAATCCCTTTAAGTGCTTCAGGTATATTTTGAAGGGTACTTAAATAATTTTGCTTGTATTAATTGAGGGACATTAGTATATTAGCACTATCTTTGAAGACTTAGAAGTTTTAGCATGATGATTTATAATTGCCTGAGGTAACAAGAAGCACTTGAGGCAATATTGAAGACTTCTATGATGAAGGCCTTGTTGAGGTCTCCCTGCAGTCCTGGGCTCTACTTGGGGATAAAGTTGGTGGGAAAATATAGTAAATAGAATGATGGCCAATTGTTTGTCTAGAGCAGCAGTTATTGGATTATTGGAGTAGCCTTTCAGAATAGAAGTTGGAAGTTGGGCGGTGGTGGTGCACACCTGTAGTCCCAGCTCTCTGGGAGGAAGAAGTAAAGGGATCTCTGTAAATTCAAGGCCAGCCTGCTCTACAAAGTAAGTAGGACAGCCAGGGTTACACAGAGAAACCCTGTCTCAAAAACAAACAAACCACAGAATAGAAGTTGGAAACATTATTAACATGAATCTTTTCTCTCTGTCTCTCTCTCTCTCTGTCTCTCTCTCTCTCTCTCTCACTCTCTCTCTCTCTCCCTCCCCCTTTCTTATTCTGTATTGTTCAGGGTGATGTTGGGCTCGCTATGGGGAAATTATATGGAAATGATTTCAGCCAAACCACCATCTCTCGCTTTGAAGCCTTGAACCTCAGCTTTAAGAACATGTGCAAGTTAAAGCCACTTTTAGAGAAGTGGCTAAATGATGCAGGTAAATGAATATACCTTCATTGTCCATGAGATTTTTCTAGGGGGATTATTCTGAAAACTGGGGTCTTACTATATTGCTGATACTACAGAGTGTTGGAGCCACTCATCCTATGAGTCATTATAAATTATGATTGTGTAAATCAGACTTCACCTTAATATTCCAGTAATTACAGTGTAAGTAAACAGCAATAACTGTGCCCTTGAAATGTTTTCGTATTTGAGCCAGGATTAGGGTGGGCATAGAGTTTTTTGAGGGTGAAAATTAGGTGGCCTGTGCGTGTAGATAATATTGAACAGACAGATTATTCCTTCCTTGAGTACATTGCCATAAAATTTGTTCCTGCTAATACTACTTTTGTTAGAAATGGCCACCTATTTCACAGAAAAGTTAGGTTTCTGGTCTTGAATTATTTCTTTTATTTTGAGATATCTTTTTGGAAATTTTGAACCACAAAATCATAGACTTCAGGAGCTAAAGGGAACTACAAAGACGCCTACCCATATAGTTTCTGTTGTAGGTAGAAACAAAAATTAGGCTTTTGGAAAAGAAGTTGAGGTACACCCACACTGCTGGCATATTGATTCAGTAGCTGAGGGTAAAGTTTAGCCATCTGTTTGTCTGTTTTGCAGTCACAGGTAAAAAACACTAATCTGTTTCATTTCAATTTATGTACAGTAGAAAGAAATCTATTGTAAAATGCCCAGGCTTATTCAGCTGTTGAGAAAGAATACCATCCTAACCTTAAAGAAGTGTCTTCTCCCTACTATTGTGCTGAGAAACTGAGAAGTCATCTCTAAATTAAATATTAAATATCCAATGATTTCCAAGAAACTTTCTTTTTATCTTCAACTTATAAACAAGCAAAAGAACAGAACTAAGGGAAAAACCAAAAAAAGAATGATGATAAAAGATAACCATCCTGGGACAAATAGTGCTGATAAGAACAGTAGAAAATCAATGGCAGTGAAGAATGCTTCAACATAGATTACATTAAAAATCTCACACTAACATCAAACTAATTATTTTGCCAGTTTTATTGTTCATAATGTATTTTGCATGTGAATTCTTAAGCTTAGCTCTTTTTTTTTTTTTTTTTCTGTGTTTCTTCACTCTTATAGAGAACCTCTCATCTGATTCTACAGCATCTAGCCCCAGTGCCCTGAATTCACCAGGGTTGGGGGCTGAGGGCTTGAATCGTAGGAGGAAAAAACGCACCAGCATAGAGACCAACATCCGTGTGGCCTTAGAGAAGAGTTTCATGGAGGTTGGTGAGCTCTTTACTTTTTGTGTGCATCTTACTGTTAGGGACTGTAGATATTAAAACATGACCTTGTCTTTCTC